ATCTTATGGATGTACATTTTATGTCCACGGATATCCCGCCTTGAATAGGACTTGAAATAAATATCCATAAGATATCCTGTGTTAACTGGGATTTTCTATCGCGGATACCTGTCTCTCGCAGCATTTTTTGTGCAATGTACAAAAGGACAACGTGATGATGGCATGCTTGAATGAATAATTATCGCAAAAAACACGATTCGTGAGCCAAAATAATAATTGTAAATATCATTTCAATCCAATGTACACGCGACCTATTATACCTGCCATCGTCGAATCGTCAGCAAGATCAAGACATTGGGTACTGTTTCGTTCCACCAGTCCCCATTAGTCGCACTCGGTTGGCTGACAATCGGAGCAGCCAAAGTCTTGAGTCTGTGTGAGTAGTGTACCTATGTGACAAAAAAGTAAATCAGACATATGAGAACTAACTTTTTTCTACTACTGCTATGAAAAAGAGCGCATTTCTCATAGCTTCCTCCAGTTTCAAAACCATGTATTGCTCATACTGTGAGAAATATTTTTTCTCACGGCACTTTGCCAACACCACATACATTTCCATGGTGACTCAACAAAAATCGACCAAAACTTAATTGGCTGGTGTTCAGCTTTGAATAGGTGTCACAACTGTCAGAAGGAGTTTTTTAAATTTTGTTTAAATTCTTTAGGGTAGTTCTCATTAGTGCTTTGATATAAATCGCAGTTTCCATTAAATATTATTCCAACAATTCATAATAAATAATATGATGTTTATACCGAGATGTGACGATTTTGATAAATACACCGCTAGACACAGAGATGATGAAAAAAGCTGCGAAAATTGGATTTGTTTCCGGAAATATCCAGAAAAAAGTATGAATTGGCATATACGAAAAATTCATGGAATCTAAAAAAATACAGAAAAAAATCTTTTTCGGAAAGTGTACTTTTAAAAAATACTTTGAGGAACTAGGAAAGGCGTCTACTCTTTGGTCACAATATTCAATGTGGCATAGTGCCACATTATAAAATGGATACCAATAAATTACATTACTTGGATTCTTTGGATGAGTGCAGTTGTAGAAAAAGTATAGTGTGCAACATGTGGGGAAAAGTACTTTTCCCACTTGTTGCACAATATACTATTTCTTGTTCTGTCGTTAATTGTGACAATGAGGAAGATGTGAATTTCAACAGATTTATCAATTGCTAGCACGATCTGATCTGGTTCATGTTAGTTCTCTGTCATGATATTTCAATTTCATACCGATGTTGAAATGTTGGCAATTCCATAAGTTCGCGGAGATCATATTTTTCCCGAAAGTGGTCCTAAATAAAATACCAAGTCTATGGGCCACAAAAATTCAAATTAAAACGTAACGTATTTTATATGGGTTAATATAATAATAATTTGAAAAATATTATGGTAGCCGGTAGGTACCCTATAAAGAAAAAGTACAATTTTTATTACACAGCAGACTTTAAATCAATTCATCTCGAAAATGATGAATGCTATCGAAACTAAATAGGTAAAAATGATTATATTTTCATATTTCCTGGACACACTGCCAAAAATTGCATAGAAAAAAAAAGTCGAGGAAAGAAATTCCCTTAGAGCCTCACTTATTTTCCACGCCCAAAATGAAAATTTCGGAAAATTCTCAACATTTCAAAATCGGGCATGAAATGAAATATACATTTCGTTATCTCAACACAGAGGGTTTCGGGAATATTTACAAAAAAACATCATCTCGGCTCGGCCCACCTTTCAGATGTTAATATGCACTTCTTCTACTATTTTATTGTTCCTAGAATGTGTGGGTGAAATCTTCCTATGTAATTTCGGGACACCCTGTATAAGGAAAATTTCCAAATTTCATACAATGATGCTGTGAAATGCCATTCAATTCTGTACAAAAAAGATCCTCTTGTTGATACTCGATAGGCCACGCGCTCTGTCTTCTAGGAAAAACAGAAATACGAGACCAGACTTCAAATTTTGATGTAAATAGTAGAGGTACTCCATTCAGGACATCCATTACTGGATATCCAACAGTGTGTAACATTTTGAAAATTTTGCACGGTTTCAGTCACATAGCAGACTTGATTTTGCCATCACGAAAAGCTATACAGGGTGAACGAAGAAATAATCTATTCATATTTTCAACTTTGATACCCTGAATCTCAAAAGTTTACGTCTACGACATACGTCGTTTATATGAAGTTTTTTTTATTGAAATGGGTCCAAGAATCCCCCTTGATTATTGCCATATCATTAACGAATTCCCTGTATATAAATAGCCATTACATCAAGTATTCAATAGTTATAAGTGATTGCATCATTACTAGTCAGTTATACAGGGTGTTTGGTTCACCGACGTATATCTGAAAGGAGGTGATATAGGTGGGAACATTCCGAACATACACGGTGAGTCATTGAAATGGGAAAGTGGGATAACGGCTTCGTTATTTGAGATAGATGAATACAAATTTTTGTGATGGTCTAGTCTCATGAGCAGCATATTTCTGAATTACTTTGCGTATATATAGGGCTCAAATATGCGTGGCGTTTCAAAGTTATACTTTTTATTATAGGACACCTTGTATTTTATTGCATTTCCGGATCCTCCTCTGTAAGCTGATTCCATCGATACATCACACTCGGGATCTAGTGGGAATGATAACAGAGATAAGGTGTTCAAAATCGAGATTTTTCAACTTTAGGATTTTTTGTGTCGAAATTATTAATAACTATTGGTTAGAACTGCTCACATGTCCTTATCTTATATTTTGATTCACTTTCTACTAATATTTAATTCAGACGAATACAGGGTAGTTCAAAATTCAGGCCCCTTTTGACCAATATTTAATGAATAGTTTCGAGACAAAAAAATCCTAAAGTTGAAAAATCTCGATTTCAAACACCCTATATCTCTGTAATCATTCTCGCTAGACCCCAAGTGTGATGCATTGATGGAGTCAGCTCACAAAGGAAAATTCGAAAATGCAATGAAATATATATAGGGTGTGGCCCATAGGAAAAAGTATAACTTTGATACGTCACGAATTTTTGAGTCGCCCTGTATAACGCAAAATATTTATGGAAATATGCTGCTCATGGACCTAGACCATCACAAAATTTGTTGTTCATCTATGGCAAACAGCGGAGCCGTTATCTCACTTTCCCATTTCTATGACTCACCTTGTATATTACCACATAAAATATTATACAAAGTGTTACGAATTTCGAGACATCATCGTTGTATCGAACATTTTATTTGATTGTCTTCTTTCATTCGGAAGTTGAATACACACAAAAAAATGTTTTGCCTCACCAGAAATTGAAAAACGAGTTTCTGTTACTTCCAACTTCGAATTATTTATAAGCGATGATTTCTCGAAAAGTGTCACACTATATTTTTCTTATGTTCGGGTTCCCACGAAAAGGGATATCCTGTAATGTTCAGAGAACATCGTGAGGACCATGACCAAAGGAAATAAGGTATAGGAATTGGTGTTCTTCTTAAATTTCTGGAGGTTATATGCCTCGGGGAACACCTCCTTTGACAATGTCGTGTTCCAGAGCCTCGCTGTTCGTTGGATGAACGAGTCTTTGGAAAGAGATGTTTTGCAGGTCTCCAAAGTGACCACGAAGAGCTGCGAAGCCTCAACTCGGCGGGTAAATCTCGCGGGGACTGCCAAGGGAGGAACAATTGTTGATATTTCAGGAGAGCATCGTCCATTAAAATATCTATAAAATAGAGCCAGATCGCCAACTTTTCTACGGTGTTCCAGAGAAGTGAGTGAGTTTGTGAGCAAGGCATCACCCACGAGACGAATTGTCCTTTTTTGGACAGAAATCCAATAGTTTCAGGGTATGTTTGGTGCTGCACTCCAAATATGGTAACAGTATTCCAGGACAGGTCGGATCTGTGCCTTATAGATAAGCAGATGACTGGAAGTGAAATAGCTCCTGACCCGAAACAGAAAATCAAGTTTTTGGGATGCACTTTTAGCAAATGATCTCAAGTGATTTTTCCAAGAAAGGTTATTGCTGATAGTAATACCCAGCATCGAAATGGATGTCTTCAAAGGTATGGTTACTCCTGACAAGCTTATGTTGGGCACAGTGAGATCGGCTTTTCTAGAGAAAAGGCATTCTTGTGTTTTGTTTGCATCGAAATCTACCAAGTTATTGGATCCCCATTCGAGAATTGTTGCCAAGTCCATATCTATGTTGTCAACATTTCTCCCTGGTTCGTTCCTGATTTGCCTAGCTGGTATTGGAGCCCTGGAAGAGGAGACGGTATGGAGGGTACTATCATATCCGCGAAGCTGTGTACTGGACATGAAGTTGCTTCCAACAAATCGTTGATATGGAGTAAAAATAGTGTTGGTGCTAGAATTGATCCTTGCGGAACACCAGCATTTATGATAAGATAGTCAGATGAAACTCCGTCGACCACTGCATAGAGAGCGACCTGTTTGAGAGAAAACTAGCTAGCAGAGAAGCTGGGGAGGCAAGCCATAAGATGGAAGCTTGGCGAGGAGTCCGTGGTGCCAGACTCGTCGATCGAATGCCTTAGAGATATCAAGTGCCACGGCTAAGGTTTCACAATATTTTTCAATAGATTGCTGCCATATATGTGAGATCAGTTGATCTCTGATGATGGAAGCCATATTGCCTATCGTTGATAATACCTGAATGTTCCATGTTATGTAAAATGTTATATAATAGTATATGGTGAAGAATGTTCGAAATCATTTCCTTCCTTACCGATATACGACGGTGAACCAAACACCCTGTATAACAGTCACCACCCTGTGCTAACTATGGATGGTTGTCATCCTGTCAGAAAAATTCAACCATATTCCTCAAATGAATCGTTTTTTTTGTTGTGAGAAGATTTTGATGAAGAAATATGAGAGATAATGACAACTAATAACAATTCAATATGATATTTTCAGAACCCGGCCATCAGGCGGTATAGATCACTATAACTCATAGTAGACTACAGGTGCCTCTGAAACTTACCTACTTTGACGCGTTTGTGAGAAAACTAAACGTTTTAGTGGGTGATTAGGGGTTGAAACAGTCTTTCGATGAAACGGGGGTCGATATATTCTCGTGATGACGACTGATTTTTCAAAAAACTGATTTCTACCTCAATATAGTCGCGTCAATCACCATCGTATCTGAAAGCATGCGAGCCTCTGAAATGTCAAAAATCCTCGACTGACCAATTTAAATCCAACAAATAACCATTCGGATGTTTACGGGCCCAAACAATGAGGCAGTTACAGTAGCACACAATAAGAGCAGCGAGAAACCGGCGGACGAATTATTGCAGAGCATCACAGCGTCCAGTGAGGCCCATGATTGTCAATTGGGGCGGGGGTCAATCTAAGTGTGACCACATCTAACCACCATGGACTTCGAGACGCTGGCGAGAGGTAAATAACCACCCCTACAGGGGGCGACAGCCCCAAGTGCGCAAAGTGGCCAGTGATTTTTGGATTGGAGCATTCTGTGATCAGTGCCTGAATGAGTATAGCTTGTTAAGTTCGCGTTTAAGTGGATGATTATTCTTCATGGCCTAACAATAGTCGTCGAAAAAATCTAGGTTTGAATAATGTGGATTCATTGGTATGCCACGTAAGATCCAATCGTTTTTTTTTTTTATTCACTGCTCATTGCTGCGAGGAGGTGTAAGTACTTCGTTTCATTGAACATGCAACAATTCTTTAATTGAAAAGATAGTGCGTATTGGACTCGTGTACCAAGATATAGCGGAAAATATCTGTCGTTTCTTCATCTTTTGAATTATGAGAAAAGAAATCTATATTTTCTTCATGGTATGATAATTGCTAATTACGATACCAATAAGTGTAAGAAGTTTTCGTTGTTACATAGGTACTCAAACATATGTCGTTAATTTTGGACATGAATTTCGTAGATATTCTTAGAATTTGACTTTTAAGAAATGGAAACAATCTATAATGATTATACATCATAGTCCCTAAAGATAAAAAGCATGCATGCTCTGATGCTTTGAGTTTCTTTGTTGCGAACATCACAAGCGTTTTTCTCATTATTATATACAGGGTGTTCCTTAAAGACATGCTAATATTCGAGGGAGCGAAAACTTCATATGAACGTGTGTCCTAAAAGTCTTAACTCTTGAGATACAGGGTGCTGAAGTTTTGGAAAATATCCAGTTTTTTGATAATAACTGAGACAATATATTGTATACATCTTCATAAAATTTGGTACACGTCTTTCATGCATCAAGGTGCATTTTCTGATGTGCAAAACTTTTCATTTTCTCTACCAGTGGCACCGTTACGGGAATATTATTGTTTATATTTTACTTAAAAGTGAACAACGACAAAAAATTCCCAAATTATATGCAATGTCATGAATAAGGCTATTCAATTATGTATTATTTAGTGTGTATGTGACATATTGAAATTTGTATATCGATTCAGTCACATAGCAGACTGACTTTTTCGATCACGAAAAGCTATACAGGGTGGACAAAAAAATAAACTATGCACATTTTCAACATTGACACCCTGTATCTCAAACGTTTTCGACATACGTTCACATGAAGTTTTATTCTTGAAAAAGGTCGAAGAATCGGCCCCTTGAATATAAGCATATCATTGAGGAACACCCTGTATACCTATCAATAAACACGATACCCCTTTATACAACATATACCTCAGGTTTCATCAGTACAGCCTTCTATCTGTTAGCCCCTGTGTCGCGACAGAAAACTGTAGACTCCTCATGAAACAAATAGTTATTTATTGTACAAGGAAAAAAAGTAGTAGATTTCAGCTCCAGGTCGTGTTGTATCCCGACGCGTAGCAGAGGGAGAGATTTTTCGGAAACTATGGCACAACAAAAGCCATCAACAGTGTATATACAGGGTGATTCACATAAGAACCGACATAGAGCAGGGGCATGTAGAGGGTCCCAAAATGTGGCAATTCAACGCAACTTACCTCTATACCAAGTTACTTTCCTAAGGAGATATAGGCTTTGAAAGTTAAGTAATAAATTTTGAGAAAAATCAATATCTCCGTTATTCTTGAACTTAAAGCAACCAAATTTGGTACACTTTGTGGATGTATTTAGGGTGTTACTTGACAGTAACTAGAGTTTAATTGAAATTTGTAATGGGGGTATACCGGGTGGCGCACCATTAATATTCAACATAATTTTGTTAACACTTGTTGGATTTCAAAAATCTTTGCTTTGTTTTGTGGGCAATTTATTTCTAAAACTTTTCCCACTCTAGTAATTTTTCGAAAAACCTCATCATTTTCATCAAAAACTCCTGCCGAATTATGAATTGGCGCTCCGTCACATTGAAACCATAGGTTATGTCTTTCATTAAGGGGCATTTCATCTAAAACTTGACGTATTTCATCATTTAAAAACTGCAAGTATCTCTCTGAATTTAAATTTTCCCGGAAGAAATATGGGCCAATGACTCTGTTATTTAACACACCGCACCACACATTTGTCTTGAAAGAATATTGATCTCGGCATTCTATCACAAACTTTGGGTTTTCTGTTGACCACCACCTACAGTTTTGTGAACTGACTACCCCATTCGAGGTAAAAGTCGCCTCGTCTGTCCATAAAATTTTACAAGGAAAATTTGAATTTTCTTCTCGTTGTCCTTGGAACCAAAAAGAGAAATCCAACCGTACGTCAAAATCTCGCTCTTTTAACGTGTTTATAAATTTTGGTTTGAACGGCTTGAACGTATTATTGTGTAATATTTTTCTCACGGCCTCCCTTTTAGCACCGGTCCTATTACAAATATCTGTTATACTAGTTTGCCCATGCTCTACCACATCTAGGCATACACTTAATTGAGCTTCTTCATCATAAACTCTTGGATTATGAGGTCTTTTGAAAGTATTTTGTACTGAACCCGTCGATTCGAACTTTGAGATAATCCTGCTCACAGTAGACTGGTGAATATTTCTTTCAGGATGCCGTCCATTGAAAATATTCGCAACTTGTCTATGACTTGTATTTTCACCGCAAATGCGTACAATTTCTATTCTTTCCTGCAAAGTCAGCATTTTGAATCTACTACTTGATAAAAATTACTGTTTCATAACCTTGAAACTGTCAAACACTTTATATCAATTTCCATAACATTCACTTCTATTGTTTCCACAGCATACTTCCCATTTCAACAGCACCTTGATTGATGATTAATTTTTGAGTATAAGTTGAGAGAATAATTGTATGAAATTGATTTAGCAAGAATTTGAACGGCAAATTGATTTGATATTTCTAGAGTTATAGCACTTATCTGAAATGTCTTCATGTGATAAAAATTATTAAAGTGAATTTTGCTATGTTGAAACTAGAGCCACTTTGCATCAAGTATTAGACATAATTCTTTCAGCATATTTATATTCATTTGAAAATATCCAATTAGAAACATTTTAATCAGAAAAAAATTCTTTCAGCAGATGGGTGTATTACATCTCAACTGGTTTTTCAGATTTGACTAAATTTAAATTAGCCGAAAAATTGTAAGGTTAAGAAAACGAGAAAAAAATCAAAGTTGTTCAAACTGGTTCAAATTTGGTAGGTGGGTAGGAAATCTAAAAATAAACAACTTTTTCATATAATATTTCTCGAAATATTGAGAAATTACCTGACATTTAGTAATTTTTTAGAAAAAATGTCATATTTGACAGGTGTAGCCGATGAATAGGAAAACATCGTAAAAGTCATTTTGCATAATTTTCAAAGCACAAACTGTTCACGAACTCTAAATTTGCAATAACTGACTAATAAAAAAAAATCCCATATGATGCGGACTTTAACGGTGACACTGTATATGTGATATATATCCGGGAAAAAAGTAAATAAAGAGTGGGCTGTTGGGTAGGCGAAAAACCGTTGTGTGTCACACATGCAGAAAACACTTTAGCATCCCTGCTTAGCAACGGGCTGCTATATAACTCATTTTTTGTCCATGTGACACAATTAGGCAATCCAACGACCTGTCAAATAATTTCAAAATGGCGTCTGGTTGGCAAATAAACCAAAGACAAGTTTGTTTACTTGGGAACTTTGTGGGTTTTGGAAGCCTCTTACAGTATTATTTTATCGAGTTTTGGCTAGATTTATTGTGAATAATGAAAACTCAGTATGATTTCAAAGAAAAAATTGCCAGTAACGTGAATTGTGGTGGATTGTGGAAGCAGTGCAGATCGGGACCATTTGCTGTTTTGTCACATTCCTACTGTAATACTGTGAAAAACTCTGAGCATTACCCACAGATGAAGGATCTATCAAGAAAAATAAGGGAAATGTGGATAGCAGCCATGAAGAGAAATGGTCTGTTCATAGAATCTCATTTATATTTAATTTATATTTAATTTAATTTGACACCTCTATTTCCCATAAGGAATGGACAAAATTAAATATAAGTTAAATGACGTTCTATGAACGCATCTTAGTGAATAGAATGCTTGAACTCTTGAGATAAGTTAAAATTAAATATAAATAATTTCTATGAACTGACCAAAAGAATCATAATAAACCAGAGGATATGTGGCAGACACTATTTTCATAACAGGTACCTAAAAAAAAGGATTTTAATATTATTCATATGTACCTACCTACTCTAGAAATGATGTTTCATCCTATGGAAAACTTATCTTTTTTCATTTTGATAAAATAAACCAATACTCATTACTTTTGATGGTCCTACAGTTTGGAAACATCATGTTTCTAATACATAAATAAATCATCTACCTTGTAGGAGAACGTAGTGCCTGAAAGATGAGAATATCCAGCTTGGGTCCCATTGCAATATAATATGGGTCATCAATCTCTTGTCCATTCGAAATGCAAGACTGATGTGGATCAAAAATTGAGAGCAGACAAAAGGTTCAAATCATGAATCAAGCATCAGAACCAAGAGACCTGGTATGTTCTCAAGAAAACACCTAATTACCTGATACTACTACTACATCATTTTTCATTTATTTTAGTGTAATGAAGAAAGTGTCCTGGGAGATAAAGAAATAGAAGAGAAAATTGGTGAAAATCTACAAGATTATAAGTACTTTTACAAATTACAGTTTGTTGTGATTTATTTTTATCAATTATAAATGTAAGACAAATAAAGTATTTAAGTATATCAAAATAATTGTAATATTCATTAAATGAAAAATACATTATATTATTCCACTATATTACAAAAGATCTACATGAGTCATGAAAAAATCTTCATAGAACATTATAGTTATTCAGTGATCTGATAGAAACAATAATAAACAATGATTGAATGATATATTTATTATGAATAGGTACATATTTTTTTTATAGAACTTGTTGAATCAGAATTCACAAAACCATGCTGATTCATGGTGTACCTAAAATATCTACACATTTAAAATAGAAC